AAACCAACATGGAACTAACAGTGTTAGACATGGACAATATCAGAGGCTAACCTATACTTAAAATTAGCAAATGTGAAATGAGAGGCCTGAGAAAAGCCGCCAACTTAACCATGCGAGACAAATTTAGAAATGATATAAGCTAGACTATAGGGACAACTCCAAACAGGAAATTCATTGAGAAAGAGAAGATAAAATTGGTTATCTAGTAAGAATGCAGTCAGAACAACTTCTAACGCCAGCGCTACATGCGAAAAGAACAAGTGAAAGCAATGAATCGCAAACTGTTTCTACCCAAAAGGCTTAATGATAAAATAGGAAATTGATAATAATGATGGTAATAATGAAATGGAACGCCGACCGCTTAGTTCAGTTTCAACTAATGTGCCAAACCGGCACAAAATGCTGCGGTTTATTCAGGACTGTCCTGTGTACGCAACAAAACATGAGTGAGTATTGCATGTGTGTGAGTAGGAGAGAGATAGACAGTGCGTATGTGTGTGTATGTATATATATATATATATGTGTGTGTGTGTGTGTGTGTGTGTGGTGAGTATTTGCACCTTTGTTTTGACTCATTTGGGTGAATACTAGCACTTTTGTTTTTCCTATAAAAATTTAACAATAAAAAAAACCTGTGTAAAACATCAAAGGTGACAGGGCTGGTTTTACCAGTACGTGTCAAAACATATTCGATTATTTGTCTTTTCTCACAGTAGTACATGATCATTATAATGTGAATCGATAGATCTAACTAAGTATCGCTGGTGTGTTGATTGTGTATACAAAGTGCTGTAATTTTGGGAGCCACTTTGTTTTTATTTGCACGAAGATTGTTTTTCCTTCGGGATGTGTAGCTGAACGTAATCTTAAACAAAGTGAATGTTGAGAGGACCGGCTTCGTTACACCGGGTTATTCCATAAAGCTCAGTCTCTCTTGGCACAAGGGCTAGTAGTCTACGTAGAGCGTCGCACGAAGCTCATACTCCGCATCTCAATTTTTAGTAGAAAGTTTGGGTTTCTTTTTAAAATACACTTTATTATAGGGCTCTAGTAGTAGTAATATTATTATTATTATTATTATTATTATTATTATTAATATTAGTAGTAGTAATAGTAGTAGTGGTGGTAGCAGTTATAGTAGTAGTGGTAGTAGAAGCAGCATTTAGTCAACGACTTCCTTTTAAACTCTTCTGTGTTATAATTGGGATATATACAGTTTTTGTCTTGTCTTTTTTTTAAAAGCAATAAAAATGTTTGTCAAAACTTCGGGCTACTGAAATAGCATTAATCTGTAGCTGAATACTACAGATTTTATAACATTGTAAATTTATAAGCCTCACGTATATGTTACGGGCATTTAAAATAATTAGGAGCCGTCGTGGTGTAGCAGCTAGACGCTCGCCTGCGGATCTGAAGGTCCTGAGTTCAGTCCTATTTTCAAAAATGACCTTGGCTCCCAGGTCGACCCAAGCAGGTACAGTCCTTGAAAGTATAGGCGGACGGCGTGACGCTCACCACATCTCCCACCAAGTGCCGTTTGGTCAATAAAATAAGGTCTAGCCCTATATACCTAGTGCGCCTAAAGACGTGGAAAAGAGTCTTTTAATTTTTTTTTCAATATTTCAAATAATTGTGATAGCCAGGTTGTGTCATCTATCTTTAGGAATATTCAAAGTGTTCAGAATTGTTATTATTATTGTGCTTTTCTATAATAATGTCTTAAATATAAACTGTCACTCTTGTGTCATGCTGTTTAATTTTTGCTTGATGCCATCTTGACCTTTTTATAAATGGCACGTTTTCCATTGTCATAGGTTTATTGCAGCCGGTCATATATTCATTTAGGGGACTTCTTTGGAGTCTGTATGTCTTACAATTTAGTTAATAGTGCTCCATATTATTATGTTTTTGACCTACTCAAAGTTAAAAATGCATAGGAACTGCGGGAAAGTGGCCAAGGTTGTTTGTGTGGTAATTTTAATGTTCTTACTCTATCTGGGCGCTTTTCAATTTCTTCAAGAAGGAACCGTAACTCTCCACGGAAATCTGATATCGTCTGCTAGATACTTTCAATATGGCCAGCATTTAACCAGACTAGATGGGTTAAAAACAGAGAAGCTTGAAAACAAACAGTAGTGATAGTGAGGCTGATGGTAAGAAAGATGCAGAATCTTCTGCACGGAATGAAGTCAAAAGAGGTACATCTAAAGACTGGGTTGATAAAGGTGAAAAGAGTAATTTATCTCTTGGCGCGGATGTTGCAAAAGCAAGGTAATTTTATAATCTCCAGTTTTAAGTTTTTTTTTTTTTTCGAGTTTATTGTGTAGTTGTTCTTTCTTTTTTTTTTTTTTTAATTTAAAATGTTTCCAATTTTAACTTTGGTAAAAAGCTTATAATTGAAAAGGAAAAAAAAAACTTCTAACAAAACGTGATAGGTATTTTCTTTCACGTCATTATTATGTAGCAGGTCCTTTGCAGAACGTCGCTCTCATCACGGTCTGCCTGAAAGAAACTCGGTCTCTCGCCAGTTATCCCGCCTCATGTACTTTCAATATCAAGGAGTCACTTATATCATGTGCCCATCTTCGTGTAGGTCGGCCCCTGCCCCTCCTTTCTGGTACCATGCCTTCTGCTCTAATTTTTTTCCAATCCGTCGTGACGCTTGATATGACTAAAATATTTCAGCATCCGGGACAGGATGCTGCTTATTAGCCAATCTTCCTTGATGTTCAGATCTTTTAAGATGTCAGTATTTCTCCTTTTCTTCGTCCAAGATATTTTCCATGATGAGTTTCTTGGGATAGTAATGTGTTAGTTCTTTCAAGTCAAACCAGCCAAAATATGTGTAACAGATAAAAATATTATGGGAAGTAAAGGCACCCATCAAATGCCAACTGGTCTATAGAAATACGAGTCTAGCTGCACATATGCGATGTGCCACTGGCGGGAAAAGGGTAGTTTACTTTGACCAAAAGAAATTCGTAAAAATCTGTAACATTTAGAGTCTTTTGCAGTTGATCTTCCCAGTGGTATCAAAGGTTACGAACTAGTTCAAAGAATCTGCTGCCTTGCTGGGAGGTGGGGAAAAACCAAATAATCTGCTGCCTTGCTGGGAGGTAGGGAAAAACCAAATAATCTGCTGCCTTGCTGGGAGGTAGGGAAAAACCAAATAATCTGCTGCCTTGCTGGGAGGTAGGGAAAAACCAAATAATCTGCTGCCTTGCTGGGAGGTAGGGAAAAACCAAATAATCTGCTGCCTTGCTGGGAGGTAGGGAAAAACCAAATAATCTGCTGCCTTGCTGGTAGATGGGGGGAGCTAAAGATCACTGAGCGCAAGCAGGAATTAGTCATTTGCCAGAGTAAAATGTACTAGTGTTAAGGCTGAATGAAGTCCAGTGTTCTTATGACATGTTTGGTACCAGCGAGATTCTAAATCTTTGTTTGCTGGTGAAGATGAAGACGGAGCGCTTAAAGGGGTGTCCTGAGTGCTCTGATGTCGATTCCTATTTGAACATTCAGCATTCAACAAATGACATGAGGAAATATGCTGGTACTTTGTAGACTTCTTGTTCTTGTTCTTGTTTTTCTTGTTCTTGTTCTTCTTCTTCTTCTTGTTCTTCTTGTTCTTCTTATTCTTCTTCTTCTTTTTCTTCTTCTTCTTCTTCTTCTTCTTCTTCTCTTCTTTCGGAGGAGGAGGAGGATAAACGCAAGGAGGATTCTTCTTTCTTCTTCTTCTTCTTCTTCTTCTTATTCCTCTTCTCTTCTTCCTTCTATTCTTCTTATTCTTCTTCTTCTTCTTCTTCTTTTAATTTCTTCTTCTTCTTACTTCTCTTCTTGTTCTTCTTCTTCTTCTTCTTCTTCTTCTTCTTCTTCTTCTTCTTCTTCTTCTTCTTCTTCTTCTTCTTCTTCTTCTTCTTTTTCTTCTTCTTTTTCCTCTTCTTCACTTCGTCTTTTACTGCTTTGGATAACGAGGGAGATAAAAGGTTCTGCTTTTAGCCCTTCTGGCTGACTCGACCATAGACACACAGTGCTGTTGTAGAGTTTCTCTGCCATTGTCTTTCCTTGTTCTTGGTCAATGCCGCAATGCTTTACGTGCTTCCCCTCTTTTAATGTATGCCTTGTGTGGAATGGCATCGCAAGTCATTCTCTCTAAGTGGGTAAACAATTTTTTTTTGCTGTCTTTGTATGTAATTTAGAGTTGGTTCTGTGTAGACTTTGTCTCTTATGGTCTCATTTCATATTTTATCTGATTCTATACTTTTATGAGGTTTTCTCGGTGTGTCAACCACACACTGAGAAAACCTAATTAAAGTATAACTAGAATGCCTTTGTACTGAAAAACCACAGAGCAAAGGAGGTAAAAAACAACACCCAAACAAAATGTGGAGAAGACAAATAGAGAGAATTGAGTACTATGGGGAAGAGCATGTGGGGTCAGTTTTTGGGATGACAAGGGATAGGGCCAGGCAGCTTTGAACGCGTTAGATGACTACCTTAACTCCAATACTGGATAAGTATTTCAAGATCATCGTTGGTTTTACGGAGTTCGTGCACTGCGCTGAGATTCTTCAGACTCGGGATTCTGTTAGAAGTAGCACTGATGACGTTGATCTGTTGTATAAAAAAACCAAAGCAGACCAATAATAGACAAAAGTCAGGAAAAGAAAGAAGGAAAAAAAAATACTTGCAGAAAGAATGTTATATAACTAATTTGTGTGTGTGTGTGTGTGTGTGTGTGTGTGTGTGTGTGTGTGACGAGTTAACAGTCAACAACATTCTCTGGACATTACCATAGATGCTCTATCCCCATCTTCAGCAATCAGCTCAGTTTCATTTATAAAGATGGTATCAAGCGAAAGGCAAACATTCTGTAGTAATAGCGATGAGCTTTGTTTTAATGATGAAATGACATTAACAGTCTTAAACAGTGTCCTCGTGATTTGCATGGTGTTACTTAGTTTAATGCATCCTTGTATCTCTGTTCAACAGATCTCAAACAGTTGTGTATGAGAAAGTAATGAAGATCTTAGACTTCAATCATCGTGCATGTTGTCCCTTGAACTACTCATTCCAAAATTGTGATTACTCAGCCTGTGAGTTCACAGACATGCCTGATGAAGCTGATCTAGTTTTGGTTAATGGAGCTCGCCTCAAAACTCTGAAACTGCCTCAACGACGTCAAGGGCAACTGTGGGTCTTTTAAAATTTTTTAAAATGTTTTTTCCCCAGACAAAACACTATGTGTGATTTCGTTATTATTCGCGTGAACAAGCCATGATGTTATTTATGTTTTCACATCCTATGTTTAGTGAAAGTGACTGTAAAGTTATGAAAGCATATTTATCTCCTGCAAGCGTTGTATAGTGGATGCCTCTGGAATTTGTATACCCATGACTTTACAAATGCTGCTCTCAACTTCCTCGGACATTAGCTGTGTACGACTGAAATAGTGAAATATTTATAAGACAGTGTTGATTCTTATTATCGTCTTGATGGACATTTGGGAATCATGTAATTTATATATATATTTTTTTAAATTTGTGACATGTAGAGTACCTAGTAAAACATAACAGCCAAAAATTGTCGAGGTTGGTTCTGCAAATACGCGACTAAAATGTTATGTTTATTTTGTTTTACAGTCTTTTTTTTTTTTTTTTTAAATCTTTTTCCCTGGGTGCCTTTTTTGCTCTCACTCTTCGAGCCAGCCTAAAATGGGTACCAAAACGTGGGCAGGTAAAGAAGGACAGCGTAATGCTGACCACATTACCCACCTAGTGCTGATTGGTCTGTTCAAATATTGGTGCTCTTCCCAATGGCAGTTTTCCCTTTTGGTTGATGATACCGCTGTGAATTTTTTCACGGCGTCCAAGTTTAGCACATACAGGACGATACTGACAAACACCCCGTGTGGGTTATGGGGCCTCACTGTGGGGGAAAGCAAGAATAGAACCACAGCCTACCCAAAAGCATGTCGTAACGGTCAACTAATTGAGGGCTTACTTCGAGGTCAGAGTGCAACTGCTTGAGAGGCAAGGAACCAAATCTCTGCAGACAAATAAGTCAGGTCTGTAAAACGGATGTGCACGCAACACTAGTTTCGGAAAAAGACAAAAGCCCAGAGATGGACGTACAACCAGATCTTTCCGCCCGAGTTTACAGCTGGTGACCGCTAAGAAGAAGAAGAGTAATGAGAAAAAAAAAACTATTACTAAAAGTTGTTAGTCGAGGTTCCATTTTCACGGTAGACTGGTGGTCCCATAACTGCAAAATTTCTGGCCAGTAAAAATCACACAAACTTTCCCTTACTGACTAGTTTGAAAGACTTGGGAAAAACTAAATTAAACATAGCGGTCTCATCAAAATCTTGAAGTTAGCACATGCAAAGTAAATGCATAAGGTAGCCGTCACATCTGCCAACATTTATTCTTCCACACCATGATTGCAGGTCAGTCACAAAAGCTGGCATTTGCACGCTTAGTATTTCATAAGTACATGCCATTCCAAATGTAATAGGCCGCCGATCATTTTACATGCGATTCACAACACAAAGCTGCCTCGGACGAAAAAAAAAACAACTCTGCATAAAATTCACTGCTCACTGTGTCACCCCAAGCACTCAGCTCAACAGCAGGATGATGAAATCTGTGGATTGCCAGTCCAGAAATTGCAGTAGTAAACTGCGGCTCAATACAAAATAGCCTTTCATGGTGGCTACGAGGCCTTTCCACAATGTTGGACCGGAAATCACATACAAGCGATGATTTAGTTTACGTACGAATACTTAATCCGTTCCTAATCCTTGGGTGTATGCCAAACAGGACGTATACTGAACAGGACGTATACCAAACAGGACATATACCAAACATGACATATACCAAACAGGACATATACCAAACAGGACTCATACCAAAGGAAATCAAGGAAGAATGATTAATCCGTTTCTGGTTGGGGGGGGGGTGGGGGGGGGGGGGGTGTGGATCCTATTTTTAAAAGAAAAATGTCCATTGTTGGGGATGTATAAAACAATTTGTATGCTGCCTAATATTAACATACGAAGATACAAAAATGGAATAAATGAAAATTAAACCTCACTTTACTTCCTGAGAAAAGTGAAGTGCCTTCTAGGATAGTAATGAGACGAAACAGTGGGTTGGGACTGGGGGGAAGGGGGGGGGGGGGGAGGTGTTCGAAGGAGAGTCTGTTTGGGCTTTGTTGGGGTGACACTTCTCTTCAAAGACCAATTGATGATGTGACTGACCTTACCTCGTACCCGCTGAAGGCTGGGTCTGCCTGGGAGCGATGGTCGTGTGTGAAAAATCAGGCTTCGTTTGGTTTGAACCCATGACCTTCGGATCTGCTTGCGAACGTCTAGCCACTACACCACAGTGACTCCTTGATTGCCCACATCTGGAGAATGTAATCCACCTTTTTAGCTATGTCATGAGAAAGGGAAAACTGGACAACAGGAAAGTATTTGTAGGGGGAAGAGAAGCAGCAGACCAAAAGAAAGGATGTTGAACAGTTTCGCATTAAAAGCTGTGTCAGAGGTTTTGTGGTTTAAACAACGGATCAACATCATGGCAAACGGGTAGTAACCCATAAGTGCTCCGTTTTACTTTTAACTCAAGTCTGAGTCCGAAGAAGCTCAGCACATTGCACAGGCTCTGTAGCACTGGCGAGGATCCTGAAATACTTTAGGTAAATTTTTAACTCCAGGCGCACACCATGTCTCGATACCATGCACTCCTCTAGCTGTGTCAGAGACCACTGGCAGTACATGAGATAGAAGGTTGTGGAAAAACCTGAACACCACATCCACATATAAACACGCACTCCTCTAGCTGTGTCAGAGACCATTGGCAGTACATGAGATAGAGAAGGCTGTGGAAAAATGTGAATACCACATACACACATAAACACGCAAGCACACACGCACGCACGTACGCACACACAAACACACAAAGTTGATAAACCCCAAACTATAAACATTGGGAGAGAAAAATAGCAACCCCTTCATAAAACATCTACGAACACATTGAATGTTTTTTCTTCTTCTTTAAACGTATATTCTTGGCTCATTTATTTTGAGCTTGTCTCATTAAACTTTCTTTGTACCCTTAGATTGATCTTCCTCTCTTCCTGTGTCAGTATTTTCTTTGTGCACAAGATCTCACTGTTTAACTCTTTTGGTACCGGAAGGTTACACAGGAGATTCTAAAGTGAAGAAACAGCTATGATTTAAAAAAAAAAAAAGTAGCTATTTACGAAATGGTAGTGACCATTTGCGAATGCCAGATTTCTTTAATGTATTTTGACCAAAACATGAAAAAAAAAATATAACAACACATCATGCTATGGAGGGGATTCAAGGGGTAGATTCACTAACACATCAGGCATTGCTTGAAACTAAAAGAATTAATGGATAATTGGTAGCTGAGCCAGGTCTTAGGTTGTCAGTGACACCTTCCATTCATTTGCTTCTGGGGCTCCCTCTGTCTCTTTATGTTTTCAGGGTTATGTTTTTACAATTACTGTCACTTAACATTGGCATTCCCAGTTATTCTCAGGGTGTACATTTTCACTACCAGGATCGCTTTGTTCACTAACCAGTGACCAGTCATTTTACTCTAGTGGGGCTACTGAGGGGGAGATCAGAGCACATATGGATCTGTCCGGAGTGCTGTGATTATAGTGATGGTAGTCCTTACTAATCACAAATCAACTGACCGAACCATTTTAATCTTTATTTCTCGATGAATTTAACGATGGCTATTGTTCCACTTGTTTGACTACTCTTTCAGGTGGATGATGTATACAAAAGAGCCCCCTCATTTCAAAAGATTCAAATACCTAGCCCGAAAAGACTTCATTGACCAGGTCAACTGGACACGCTGCATTTTTCGTGACTCCACATTCAGGGGTCACTATGGAGCGCTAGAAAAGAGACCTCCACCTGATAAAGATTATGGTAAATATTTGCAGTATACCTTCTCCTCCTTATATTACGACCTGCGTGACTCAACTTTGACCATCCGCACTTATGACCTGCGTGACTCAACTTTGACCATCCGCACTTATGACCTGCGGGACTCAACTTTGACCATCCACACTTATGACCAGCGGGACTCAACTTTGACCATCCGCACTTATGACCTGCGGGACTCAACTTTGACCATCCGAACTTACAACCTGCAGGACTCAACTTTGACCATCCGCACTTATGACCTGACTAAATCCTTAACTTACTCAATTTGACCATCCGCAAACCTGGTGACTCAACTTTGATCATCCGCACTTATGACCTGCGGGACTCAACTTTGACCATCCGCACTCTTGACCTGCGGGACTCAACTTTGACCATCCGCACTTATGACCTGCGGGACTCAACTTTGACCATCCGCACTTATGACCTGCGGGACTCAACTTTGACCATCCGCACTTATGACCTCAGGACTCAACTTTGACCATCCGCACTTATGACCTGGGTGACTCAACTTTGACCATCCGGGACTGCGCGACAATTTCTTATACCTGACTTGACCAACCGCACTTATGACCTGCGGGACTCAACTTTGACCATCTGCACTTATGACCTGGGGGACTCAACTTTGACCATCAGCACTTACAACCTGCGCGACATTTTATGACAATACTGCTATTTTTTGTATTTTTACTACTACTATTTTTCGTTTGTTTATTTTATGTTTGATAACACCTTTTTTCCATTACCAGAAAAGATTTATGCTGACAAGATATACCAAGCTGCCTGGTTTGTGTCCCACTGCTACAGCCAGTCTCGCAGAGATGAATATGTCAAACGGATGCTTTCTGAAATCGATGTTCATATCTTTGGCAAATGCGGCAACAGAACATGTGGATCCCATGGGCTAAAGCTCAAGCTGTTGGGTACAACAGACGCCTGCCTTGACCAAATATCTGTAAAGTATAAGTAAGTAGGTTTGCATAACATATGTGTTACAATCATACGTGTTTTAATAATCATATGTGTTTGTTTGTATAGCCATATGTGTTTGTATAATGATATTGTTCACTAGTTTTTTTTTTTTAAAGAGCATCTTCATCGCACTCGAACATCACTATACGTTGTATAATCTACTGTTATTTTTTTTTTTTTTTTCAAATCCTATATGAAGCTTGATATGACCAAAACTGGCTTCCATAATGAGGTATAATGATATGTGTTTGTATACTGTATGTGCGTATGCCTGTTTAGTTTGTTGTGCCTCGTCCTGGGGCGTATAACGATGACCTGTCCATGCAGGTCAAGTCAATGCTTTAGCTCGCCACTGAGTATCTCATTCTAAGAAGCCCTGTAGTTTGAGGTTTAATCAACGGATCAACATCATGGCACAAGGGTAGTACCCCATAAGTGCTCCATTTTTCTTCCAACTCAAGTCTGAGTATGAAAAAGCTCAGCACAGTTTACAGACTGTAGCATTGCCGAAGATCCTGAAATACCTTGGGTAGATTTTTAACTTTAGATTTTGCCTGGGCTACTCTTTTTGATTTCCAACTGCGTAGAAATTTTTTTAAAACTTGCGCAGCAATGCACACGGGCGTCCAAACTCACTACCCAGAGACCCGGGGGTGGGGGAGGGGAAATTACCAAAAGTCCAAGTCCAGGTGAAAAAATCTCAGCCCTTTCCGGGGATTGAACCCAGAACCTCTAGCACTCGAGTTGGACACCATGCATCGAGACCACGCAGCCCCCCTTTAACAAGCACTGTTGATTATTGAAACTTTTTCTTGATTTTATTGTTATTCAGGGTCGAGATGTTTTGCGTTAAGGCATAACCTCATTTTGTTAGACCAGTCAACATTTCATGAATAACGTGGTTAACATCATGCCGGTCACTTTTACTTTCCTTTTCACTTTCCTAATTTAGGACAGTGCAATAGAGTGGACAGAATCGATACATTGAAAGACTAATTCAACAGGGGCTGAGCAGAGATTCTGAGAAATATTCAGAATTGAGGGGGAAATTTGGGCGCACTTTTAATCATAGATGTCTTCATTATTTTAGCTAATTTCTTTACCATGTAGAAGTTACTTGTTCAGCTCCAGACTTAGTCTCTCAGTCTGCGGTTGTGAGTGTTTCATAAATTCCTAGGAGTCACAGCTGCAGCTGATCCATTATTCCATTATCTTTTCCAGGTTCTATTTATCCTTTGAGAACTCCATGTGCTCTGACTATGTCACGGAGAAATTCTACAAACTCTATGAAAATATTGATGTCATTCCGGTGGTCCGAGGCGGAGCAAACTACACTGAACTGGCTCCAGCTGGGAGCTATATCAATGCCGGAGACTTTCATTCTCCAGAAGAACTGGGGAAATACTTGAGGCATCTGTCTGAGGACAAACAGGAGTATATCCGCATGCTAAAGATTAAAGACAGGTAGGTAGACATAATATATTTGGTGCTAAGCATATTTTACGGCTCTGTGAATTAGAAGGGGTGAATGTGTTTCACAGTCCTCGCTTCTAGATGACAGATACCAGTTAGGACCATTCTGTTGGCTGACTGACTGACTGACTTTCTACCCCACCAGGACATCACACAAGCGATAAACACCCGATGACACAAAGTGCCACCATGTGGATGAGGATCGCCGTGGAGAGGTCCCAGAAACCGCGTTTAGGCAATAGGCCACATTTATGGCCTGCCTATGTTGCGGCCCCTGGCAAAAGCCAAGGTGGGGCTTCAAATAACTAAAAATTTCTTCCTAAAAAGGACGAAACACCTATTGCTAGGTAAGTAGCGTATAATTGAACTATTCTGTTGGCCTTGAACGACAGTTTATATCGCACGGTATAAGAGATAGGGGATCTGCAGTGTACTCAATGCTCAGTCTTTAAAGGCTCTGGTGGCTGGGTCACACTTGGAGAACAAATTATGGTAGAATCCCTAAAGACATGCTATATGGTGAATTAAAGATGGTTAGAAGCTGGACTTGGCACCTTCACATAGGATAGTGTTTTACTGTGCTACCTGCAGGCATTGGAATTGCAGCCCATATTCGGAACACACACACACACACACACACACACACACACACACATATATATATATATATATATATATATATATGCGCGCGCGCGCACACACACGCAGAACATACACATATGTAATAATTAAGTGTGTGTATGTGTATATATACATGTATACTTTTCTTCTTTCTTTTTTCCCTTCACGTGGGCAGAAAGCACATTGGGTTGTGCTGTACAGTTAGCGGGCGTCACTTGCACCTGTCAACCCAGGACATCCGATTTCATCCAACCCTTAGTCACCTTTTGCTGCATGTTTGTGGAGCAGCAGTGTGTCTATTTTCTGTATCGTCCAAAATGAGGCTTCGGAACCCTGTTTCTTTTCTATTTGCACATTGTGTAGCTTGTATTTACCACTTGGAGGTTTAAGAATGTACCTACTATTATAATGACACTTATAATAGTGGGTATATTCCTAATGGCCTGTTAAAATATAAATTTATTGCTCTGCCAAGAAGCCCCAGGCACTTTAAAATGTGAAGCCATCCTATGTCGTAAGACTTACGAGCCATAAAAAAAGTAAAGGTAAAGGACCCTTTTCCACGCCTCTAGGCGTATAGGGCATATAGGGCTAGACCTATATTTTTATAGACCAATAGGCACAAGATGGGTGATGTGGTCAGCATCACGCCGGCCCCCTTAACTTCTATGCACTGTGCCCACTCAAGGCTAGGTCGACCTGGGAGCCAAGGTCATTTTTAAAAAATGTCCGGCTCCGCAAGGGAGCGAACCCACGAACTTCCGATCCGCGGCGAGTGTCTAGCCGTTCTGCCACGGCGACTTCCCTTATGAGCCATATTACAGAGAATAATTATGAGAAGAATAAGAAATAACATTAAAAAAAAAAAAAAGAAATTAGTGAATAACAGTGTAGACTTGAGAAAGGAGAAGTTACAAACAATACTACATACATCCTCGCGACTGTTTAGGAAAAAGCTATAGAAGTAAAAAACTATCTGCTTCACATAGACTGTAGTCGCAACAAATCCTATCTCTTCTTCTTGGCGTGTACGGCTGTAACCTCTGGCAGAAAGTTCTGAGTTTTCTCCACTTCTGAACTTCGGTTGTGTCCCAGAGCTAGAGTTTCGCGTACATATCTATTTTACAGGTCTGGCGTATTTGTATGTAGATTGTTGGTTCTTCGCCTCTCAGGCAGATGCACTTCGACGTTAAAAAACACACCCCTAATTAGCCGCCTTGTACGACATGGTGGTTTGGGAGGCGGTGGGTCTATCCCCGCCCCCTCCCCCTTTTTGAATGAAACATTGTAAACCACACGGGGACAGCATCCAATAGCATATACACGTGCCAATGCATAAAGCAGCCATCTGAAGTGTCAACATAAACAATCCAACATGAGAAATGCAGTTTATTTTTAATGGAAGGAGCAGTTATACCAGATCAGGGGTTACACAGACAGTTACTTGCATAAGACACCTCCAGTTCTGTGGCTACAAATCACTTGCATTTTATGAATTTGCAGTTCACAAAACACACCCCGTTGGGCAGTCAAAAAGCACTCCAAATGTAATGCACAGCTCATAGTGTCACGCCATGCACTCAGCTCAGTAGCTGGATGACAGAACTATATCCTTTCAGAATACATATTGAGGAAAATAGATTGGCTAATTATTACTATAAGCATGAACTTGCCACGCTAAATAGTAAACCTGCCTATCAGCTATACTGAAAAAGAAGTGTCTTGAGGACACCATATGTATATTTTTATATATGTAAAACAAATATGAATACTCTGTTGCAGGTACATCAATACATTTCCCAAACCACCATACCCATGTGAACTATGCAAAGCTCTGCACACTCGCCGACATGTTCCATCAACATATGAGAACATTTACAAATGGATGACAGATCATTGCTGGGAACCAAATGACCTCTGACATATGTGTTTAGCGTTAGACCGGACACTTCATTTATATCATTACTTATATGCGCTTTATATGCAGCTCTCTGGTTTAGAGGTTATAAAATACACTTAGCCAGCCTTTCTTCTGGAGAAAAAAGGTGCCGGTACCCACCACACAGTACCTGTCACAGCTGAGCTGACAAAATGACGCTTGAAAGAAAGGTTCCAGGACTTTATACCAATGCGTACCGTCAAAAAAGAAAAAACAAAAACCTGTATTTAACAGTATTTTTGGCCCGAGTACTCATCTCGTCTCATTTTGATCTTCTTGTACCTTGCGGTGTCGTGGTGAAGTATAATTTACGTTTCTGTGGTTTTTAAATGGGTATTCCCGTGGACTCTGTAATTCTATCTGTCCATCTTCTGCCTTTTCTTCACTTCCTGCATGGCTGGACATCATTACTTGCTGTGGTCTACTGTCTGCTGACCTCTGCGCTTTATGGCCAAACCATTTCATTTGTTGCCTTTTAATGAAATCCAAAGCCGCTGCATTTTTTTTCAGATTTAATTGTTTTTGAGCTTATCTCTTTTTTTTTTTTTAAATATTCAACGGAATCTCTCTTTATTTGTAATTTTTCTTTTCTCTTTTTCTGTCATTGTCTAGATCTGGCATTGATAACACAGGAATGGCAAGAAAATTGTGCCACAGAGTGCTCTTTTGCCTTCCAGATACATGTTTGTTTCTTAGTGTTGGTGTCATTAGCCCAGCCTGTGAATTGGTTACTTTGTTACATCTGTCATCAATCTCAAATTCTGTTTTGCCAACTGGTGATATTATGCTTCCTAAGTATTTGAAGTTTTGTGTGTGTGTGTGTGTGCGTGATTGCGTGTGTGTATGGAGTGTGTGTGGGTAGGTGTGTGTGCGTCCTTGAACACTAGGGATTGATATCTGCGGTGGAAATAAAATAAATAAAATACTCGAAGCTGTGGGAGAGTGGTACAAGAGTCGTACTGTGGAAGAGCTTGAGGCCTCAGGATGTAGTGTTCCCAAAGAATGCACTGGGTGCACTGTAGTCAGCCTTGACTGTGGAGGTGGGACACACACATTACATCTTCTCTTCCACTGACGACACCCGCACTTGCGAAAATAAAAGGTAATGAAGCAAAATTAGTAAATAAAGAAAAACAACTGTATTGGTGGAGTTTATTGTTTAAAAATATAAATTTGACTAACAACTAGTTCTAAGTGCGAACGCTTAGTAATGCCGTGCGCCTTTCGTTGGTTTCGACAGTGGTATCAAGAAGCCGACCGTCCAGAGGCAATGGCAAACTACTGGATGTAAATTTACCTAGAGAAACTCACAACAGCCAGAGGCTGCTGGGGTTGGTTCTGCAACGTCCTGTAAAGGATAAGCAGATAAGCAACTAACCAACGACTAGTTCATTATTCAGAGGCCCATTCTTCCACTTTCTAACACCACAATGTCTATCATTCCCCGTAGTTCTTTTTGACTTGTTGCTATCAAGACTGTGTTATCAGCATAACGTAAATTGTTTATATTGAAGACAGAAGTAATGGTGGTATCAAAGAAACGAATTATTCCTAAGTGTGTAATAAAAGTTGATGGTGTTATTTTAGGACAAGTACAGAAATTTAAGTATCTGGGCACATGGATAACATCAGATGGAAGATGCATAACTGAGATAAGAAATAGAATAGGACAGGCAAAAACTGCATTTTGTAAAATGAAAAACATCTTGTGCAATATATCCTTGTCATTGAGAGTTAGAAAAAGAATTTTTGCTTGCTACATACATCCAGTTTTAACATTTGGCTGTAAATGCTGGACAATGGGTAGGCTAGCCAAACAATTTCTTGAGGCCTCAGAGATGTGGTTTTAAAAAAGAACGCTTAGAATACCTTGGACAGCCCAAAAAAGAGCAACCAAGAGGTTTTAAAAGAGGCGGGAGCCCGAAGACAACTTATCACAGACATCAGAAGGAGACAGTCATCATTTTTTGGCCATGTTATGAGAAGAGGGAAAATAGAACATGTTGTGACCACTGGAAAAGATCTGTGGAAGGAGGGATAGAGGAAGACAACGAGAGAAGATGCTTTACAGTCTTGTTGCCTGGCATGTAGGTGTGTCGGCACACGAACTGATACATGCTGCAGGAGATCGCAGATATGGAGAGGCATGATCGCCCACGCCAGTCGGCAAGGCACCTGATGATGATGATGAAGCATATGTACAAATCAGTCTTTACTTCTATAGCTCTTTCTGACAATGGTCTTCACATTTTATAGTGCCTGGATTCTTTGGCAGAGCTATAAATATGGATTTTAAAAGGTCATTTGGAATATACCCACCATTATAAATATAATTTAAATGTTTAGTTATTATTTCAGTTCTAAAATCTCCCAGTGCTTCGATTTCTTCCAGTGAGATGTTGTCTGGCCCGGGTGCTTTTCCTTTCTTCATATGATGTATTGCATCCTCAACTTCTGCAGTCATTATTGGTGAACCATCATTGTTGGTCTGCAGTTCTACATTTGGTGTTTTATCATCAATTCCCCTATATACTATGTCCATCTGCTAATTATATTACTATGTCCCATTAATGTCACCATCTTTCGATTTTAAACATCCAGTGCTGTTACGTGTCATCTTTCCTGTTAACATATTTATCTGTTGGTACATGGAATGTGAGTCTGTCCTGTGATTTTCCCAATTCTCTGTACACATTTAATTCAGCCAGGCTTCTTTAGCCACTTTGCATTTGTTCACCATTTCATTTTGTATTCTAGAGTATTCCTCTTTATCATTCTTTTCCTTCCTTCTTTCATCCATCAACTGCAGAATATCGGTTGACATCCATTTCTTTTTTGCAACTCTATGGGTTGGTGGGATTGTCTCTTTTGAATTGACTCACGCAACATATCCCACTGTTCATCAATAGTCTGTATAATTTCCATTGCATTGTACCGGTTTTGTACAGTGACATTGTACTGGTACTTAATTTCTTTATCCGTTCGAAGAATTCCTAAATTTAACTTGATGTTCTGTGGTGTTTTTCTAATGTTCTTTAGTTTTATTCTAATTTTTCCTACAACTGGAACATGGTCACTAAAGCAGTCTGCTCCTGGTCTAGTTTTTGCTCCAACTAAGCTGCTCCGGAATCTTCTTGAAATCAAAATATAATCAATCTGATCGCGGACATTATCGCCAGGACTTTTCCAAGTCCACAATCTTCGAGGATGGTGTTTAAACCAGGTGTTACCTATTATCATGCTCTGCGACTCAGCCCATGCTATTAATCTGTCACCTCTTACAGTCTTTTCCCGTAGGCCATAGCCACCCGTTATTCCGTACACTTTTTCACTTTCTGTTTTCGCGTTAAAATCTCCAAGTACCATTGTTTCTTCACAATTTTTGCATTGATCAACAGCCATGTCTAACTCGTCATAAAATGCGTCAATATCTTCCTCTGAACTATCTGCTGTTGGGGCATAAATCTGTACTAAGTTGATGTCAAACGGTCTGCCGCGAAGCTTTACTAATAGTACTCTATCTAATATTGTCCAAAATCCTTTCACAGTTTTTGAGTTCTTTGGATCCGAAATAATACCAGCTTCCCACTTGAGTAAATAATGATTTGCTGATCTGAATACTTTTCTCCTGCTCCTGGCCATCGCATTTCACCAATTCCCAATATGTTGATATTCATTCTCTTCATTTCCATCTTGATGTTATCCAGCTTTCCGTTTTGTACGAGTGTTCTGACATTCCATGTAACAATGTTCAGGATGTTTCTACCATTTACTTTTTCTATGGTAGCTGGATGACGGTCGGGTATCACCGCAGAACATGATGCTCCCTACCGGACGAGGTGATTCCACTGGAATCCCCATTCACGTCGTATGACTAGGGATAGTACAGCGGTGGCTTCCCCTTGCATCCGCCGGTTTGTATATGGTTTGACTCCAATAGCCTTTGTTAAAAAGACTTACCCTGCAGGGCAGCAGGGGGGAGAGGTTATGGCGCCTCTTACCCGCCGATGGCCATGTCGTAGAGTTTTGAGGTATTTTAAAGAGTTAGCTGTCCCACTAACTAACTCGCCTCCTCTCAATGACCTTCACCTGTTTTGACCACGGACACTTATTCAATATATTCGTGGCTAACCTCTATATCTAGAGGCCTTTCCACCATCCGCCACATGGTGGACGCGCCTAGTAGTAGGACAGGCTCCTACCCCAGGGAGGAAAGGCAAGACTGACATAATGATACTAGTGCTGGTACTATGGGAATTCAACTCTGTGCTGGTTGCACAGATGGTGACAGCGCATTTTTGAGGCCAATTTTACCTCTATGCTCAGATCATGTAGGATGTCAGTTTTTTGTTGTTGTTGTTGTTGCTTCTTGATCCACTATATTCTAAGAACTTTTGCTATAGCATTTAATTTCAAAAGCTGTGATTTGTTTCATGAGTACACGACTTACTACGCTAAGTAGACGCTCGAGCACGTATTGTTCTCGTGCAGAAAGCCATAGGTCAGGGATGATATACTTGGCACTACAACAAAGTCCTGAAAGAGTTAGCAGATATTGTAGACCAAGCCAGAATGAGGACCAACGCGAGGGCCATCCAACCTTCACCCTCATGCGCTTTCTCAAGGCTGGGCAGATTTATAGAGGTAAAATCAACAAAGTGGCATAAGCTCCATCAATACTTGACTGTGCGAGGGACTGGTTACTGGCTGTCTACCTGCCTGGTTTCGACAGGTACCCAGAGTCAATCCGGAAGACCGGTCTGAGACCCGACAGTTTTGCACTCTGCGGAAAAACGCCAACTCATCCTGATTGAGCTGACTGTGTCGTACGAGTCGCGGATGGAATAAAATCACCTGTACAAGCTCGAGTAGTAGGGTAAGCCAGTCTGAGGAGAGACGAAGCGTATGCAGTAAAAATCTTCGCCGTCGATGTAGGCGCAAGAAGTCTTATCTCCACTTCCACGGACAATGTGCTTAAGCAG